ACCATGAAAACCTCATCACAACCATATAACATAGGGAAACCTGACTACCTCATCACAACCACATAACACAATCGTCTGCGTCTGAGTAGCAGAAATGTATTTTTAGTGAGGAGGAGGTAGACCTATTCAGTGGTAGCTCTCTGCCCACGTTTTGTCACTCGGCTGTGAAGAGTAACAAGGTTGTGTGTGAACACTGTGCGCCAGATAACACACATCTGTGAACAACACTTACTCTCTCTCTTTCATGAACACACATCCTCTTGAACACGCACGCACACACTTCTCTCCACCAGGCTACCGTACTCTGCCCAGTGGAGGGGCAAGTGAGGATAGAGTAAGACAGTGAGAGGTAGAAAGGGAGACAAAAGCGTATCAAGCTGTACTGTCCTTTGATGAAATGAACGATTTAAAGGTCAAGCTCCTGAGCTTTTAGGAGGAAATGTAGTCTCTGGTAACTGTAGACTCTGGCACTGAGGAAGCCTGGCCTGGCCTGTTCATTCACTGTGAACTCTATAGAGGGGAGGAGATGTTGGCATGGCTGACTGCAGAATGTCTTTCCTCCTGCAACCTGAGAAGCAGGGAGAGAGAGAGGAGAGCACTGCACAGTTAGAGAGAAGAGAGAGAGGAGAGCACTGCACAGTTAGAGAGAAGAGAGAGAGGAGAGCAATGCACAGTTAGAGAGAACGAGAGAGAAAGAGAGGGAGAGAGGAGAGCACTGCAGAGTTAGAGAGAGAGAGAGGGAGATAGGAGAGCACTGCACAGTTAGAGAGGAGAGAGAGAGAGAGAGAGAGAGAGAGCGAGAGAGAGAGAGAGAGAGAGAGGGGGGGGGGGGGGGGTACAGAGGAATTTTAATGTGGTTGTGTCTGATGGGTGCTGGCTGCCAAAGAAAAGCAATTACCATCACAGCCCTGTGTGTGTGTCAGTGTGGGTGTGGATGTGTGTTTCTGCATTTGTTCATGCCTGCATGCTTTTGTGTGTCCGTGCTTGCATGTGTGTGTGCAAGGGGGGTTTAGCTTATTAAATGCACTTGGTAGGTTGTTTACTTGGTAGGTCTGCAGGAGTTTGTGTGTGTGTACTCAAGATTTAGACAGCACTGTGCTGTCGCTGCGTCACACAAACACACACACACACAAAGTGAGAGAGAGAATACTGTGCTTGTTTTGGGCTGTTTCTAGAGAGAGAACTGATAACCACGCGGCAGATAAGAGATGAGAGAGGGAGAGGACAGATGGTTAGGACGGGGGTCTGTTTTGGCCAGCAGAGAAAGGAGAGAGACACAGAGAGATACGAGACAGTGGGAGAGAGAGAAAGAGAGCTTCAATTGATCCACTCTTAGAAAAAAAGGGTTCCAAAAGGGTTGTTCAGCTGTCCCCATAGGAGAACCCTTTTGGGTTCCATGTAGAACCCTCTATGGAAAAGGTTTCTACCTGGAACCAAAAGGGTTTTACTTGGAACCAAAAGGGGAAAGCCGAATAACCATTTTAGGTTCTAGATAGCACCTTTTTTTCTAAGAGTGTAAAGTGTGTGATTGTGCTGTGTGTGACTAGCCTTTTCTCTCTGTAACAGAATGAGAAGGTCTGAGGTTAACACTCTCTCTCTCTCTCTCTCTCTCTCTCTCTCTCTCTCTCTCGCTCTAGGATGCGGAGGTTTGCCTACTGTAAGGTGGTGCTGGCCACCTCCCTGGTGTGGGTGATGTTGGACATGTTCATCCTGCTCTACTTCAGCGAGTGTAACAAGTGTGACGACAAGAGGGAGAGGGGCCTGCCAGGCAGGGACGGTGAGCACACACACACCGCACACTCACACACACACACCGCACACTCACTCACACCTCTCTCTCTCTCTGTCGTGTTGTAGATACAGTATTGCGGCCCAGGGATGGTCCAGGAGAAGGAGGTAAACCTGTGGTGATTCCTAAAGAGAACCAGGAGAAGATGAAGGAGATGTTTAAGATCAACCAGTTTAACCTGATGGCTTCTGAGATGATCGCTTTCAACAGAACCCTGCCTGACGTACGCCTGGAGGGGTGAGTCTATAACTAATAATACAGCTTTATTGTCCATGTTACAGCGAACAACAGATAATCTATAGTCTAGAGCTAATCACCTATAACATACTATAACATACTAATAACAGATCTTTGATACAGCCATTAGCTGTGGTATATTGGCAATATACCACAAACCCCTGAGGTGCCTTATTGATATTAGAAACTGGTTAGTAAGGTAATTAGAATAATATACGGTCTGATATACCACAGCTTTCAGCCAATCAGCATTCAGGGCTCATACCAGCCAGTTCATAATAGAATATAGATAATTGCAGTGATTTGGTATTAGGTAGTTATTGATGATTATTAGTTATTGTTATGGTTCGTTAGTTATAGATGTTAGACAAAAATCTGTTATTAGCTAGTTTGTTATTGACGATTAGTTAAAGGTGATTCGTTATAGATTATGTTATTGACTCACCCTTCCAGGCGTACGAAAGATCTGTTTGCGTTCTTAATTTCACCTGTCACATTATTTTACATTATGAAGCTTACCATAGTTCCCCAGAACAGTTGAGCCAGTCACGTGTTTGTTTGTAAATAGCACAACAGGAGAAAGCGGGAGCTGTGAGTCCATGGCGTTCTATATCTGTTGTCGAGTCTCTGTTGCGCAGCGCACATGAGGTGATGAAGTTACACTTGTATGCAATTCACTGCTAAATGTTTGCCATCAGATATCTTATAATGGCTTTCTGCCAGAAGTCAAAAGAGCTCTGGATGAGTTTTCTGTACTGCTGCCAAATCTTTCCCAGTGCTTCCTTCTAGTGTTTTTTTCCTCTTCCGTTCTTCTCCCCTCTGCTCCATGTACACCTACACACACAGCCTAGCCTGGAGACAGACAGTGCACATTGATGTGTGAAATGTGTTTCTCCCTCCACCTGCTTTTCCAATTAACAGATAAGACTCAGTCAATAGCAGCAGTGACTGGGCTGGAGCTGGGCTGGGTGGGGGGGAGCTGAGCTGGGTAGGGCTGGGTGGGGGGAGCTGAGCTGGGTGGGGCTGGCCTGGAGCTGGGCTGGGTTGGGCTGGATCTAGGTGGGGCTGGCCTGGAGCTGGGGTTGAGCTGGGTAGGGTTGGGTGGGGCTGGCCTGGAGCTGGGCTGGGTGGGGCTGGAGCTGGGTAGGGCTGGGTGGGGTGGGGGGGTGGTGAGAAATCATCAGAGACAACACATTCAATCACATACTAGACCAACATGAGCGAAGACCCCTTCTGATGCTTTAGAATTTAACTGTTAGTATGGAGGAGGTTGGGTGGGGAGGTCAGTATGACACTGCCGTATAGTGTGTGTGTGTGTGTATGTTTGTGTGTGTGTGTATGTTTGTGTGTGTGTGTGTGTGTGTGTGTGTGTGTGTGTGTGTGTGTGTGTGCGTGCGTGCGTGCGTGCATGTGACAGTTTCCATGACCACACTTTTGAGGAATATTGGGCTCTGACTAAATCTGCCTTTATGAGTGTGTGTGTGTGTGTGTGTGTGTGTGTGTGTGTGTGTACTTGTGTGTGTGGGCGCTCCAGAGTTCTGAGTGTTTAATCAGAACCAGTGTGCAGCTCGTGCTGACCTCCCCCACAATGTACTGCCTCACCCACAGCCTGCAACTGATTACACTATTATCCAGTTGTTCGTTTCACAACTTTTCTACACTCTCTTCCATGTGTACGTCTCACACACACATGTCTGGAAAGTCATGCTGTTAGCTCGCAGGGTTAGGGTTAGGTAAGTGTGTGTGTTGGTGTGTGTGTGGAAAGGCTCCCAAGCAATGGCGGCTGCTGAGGGGAGGACGGCTCATAATAATGGCCGGAATGGCATGAATGGAATGGTGTCAAACATGGTTTTCATGTGTTTGATACCACTCCATTCACTCCATTAAACTCCATTCCAGCCATTATTATGAGCCGTCCTCCCCTCAGCAGCCTCCACTGCTCCCAAGGCAGGGTGTCACTGTTTTTAAAGTGAATAATCTGATGAAACTGTTTTACTCCCTCCCTAAGAGCAGAAACACACACACACACACACACACACACGTATACACACACACACACACACGTATACACACGTACACACACACACGTATCCACACACACACGTATACACACACACACACACACACACGTATACACACACACGCACACACACACACACACACCGATTGCGTGTGTGTGAGGTAATAGGTTCCAGAGACAGAGCAGCTGGAGGAGGGAAGGAATCCTGACCTCTTCTCTCTCCTCCGCTGCTACATTCCTTCACTCTGAGGGAGGGGTGGGGAGAGGGGGAACATTCTGCAGATATATGGAGGGAGGGAGGGATGGAAGGAAGGAGCAGGTGGGAGGGAGGGGGATTGAGGGAGGGAGCCAGAGGAATTGAGGGAGGGAGGGAGCAGGAGGAATTGAGGGAGGGAGGGATTGGGGGAGGGAGGGAGCAGGAGGGATTGAGGGAGGGAGGGAGAGGGAACAGGAGGGATTGAGGGAGGGAGGGAGCAGGAGGGTTTGAGGGAGGGAGGGAGCAGGAGGGATTGAGGGAGGGAGGGATTGAGGGAGGGAGGGAGCAGGAGGAATATAGAGGGAGGGAGGGAGCAGGAAGGTTTGAGGGAGGGAGGGAGCAGGAGGAATTTGAGGGAGGGAGGGAGCAGGAGGGTTTGAGGGAGGGAGGGAGCAGGAGGGATTGAGGGAGGGAACAGGGTGCTAATTTTCCTGATCTTTTAAACCCACTCATGTCAAAGTCCATGTCCCACGCCATCTGTCGTGGGGACGATATGCATCATATACTGTATATTAATGATGAAATGATGTGTTGCTGATCTGTTCACACTGACATCTATATCATGAAGCTCATTGTTCCAGGACCACAGGATACATTACTGCAGTTCATCATGAAAGGCCCTTCATGAAAGGCCCTTCTGTGTGTGTGTGTGTGTGTGTGCTGAGTGGGACTGATGAATATTGTCTCCTCTCACTGAGATGGTAATAAGTCACACTCTCTAATTAACATCACTAATGACCTGTAATAGATCTGCCTGACGCCCAGCATATGTGTTCTGTGTGTGTGTGTGTTCTCTCTGTGTGTGTGTGTTCTCTGGGTGTGTGTTTCTATTGGGTGTGTGTGTGTTATCGTGTGTGTGTGTGTGTTTTTGTGTGTGTGTGTGTGTTTATGGGTGTGTTGTTGTCTGGTGTGTGTGTTTCTGTGTGTGTGGTGTTTTTTGATTGGTGTGTGTGTTTGTGTGTGTGTGTGTGTGTGTGTTCTATGTGGTGTGTGTTTAGGGAGTGTGTGGTTTATGTGTGTGTGTGTGTTTATGTGTGTGTGGTGTTGTGTGTGTGTGTTGGTGTGTGTGTGTGTTTTTGTGTGTGTGGTGTTTCTTGTGGGGGTGTGTGTTATATGGTGTTGTTGTGGTGTGTGTTATATGTGTGGTGTGTTTATGTGTGTGTGTGTGTGGTGGTGTGGTTATATGTGGTGTGTGTGTGTTGTGGTGTGTGTTTATGTGTGTGTTTGGTGTGTTATATGTGTGTGGGTGTTATTGTGTGTGGTCTTGTGGTGTTATGTGTGTGTGTCTATGGTGTGTGTGTTCTATGGGTGTGTGTTATATGTGTGTGTGTGTGTATTCGTGTGTGTGTGTTTTGTGGGTGTGTGTGCTCGTGGGGTGTGTATATGGTGTGTGTGTTATATGTGTGTGTGGTGGTTGCTTGGTGTGTGTGTTATATGTGTGGTGTGTTTAAGGTGTGTTGTGGTTTATGTTGTTGTGTGTGTTGTGTGGGGTGTGTGTGTTATGGTGTGTGTGTGTTATGTGGGGTGGTGTATATCTGGGTGTGTGTGTGTGTGATGTGTGGTGTGGTATGGGTGTGTGTGTTCCTGGGGGTGTGTTTTCGGGTGTTGTGTTACTTGGGTGGGGTGTGGTTGTGGGTTTTGGGGTGTGGTTTATTTGTATCTATGAGAGCTGGTTAGTGTTTCTGTGGGGCGTCAGAGTTTGTTATCTCTCATTCATTATGCTTACTCTCCGCTTTCTCTCTCCTCTCTCTCCTCTCTCTCTCCTCTCTCTCTCTCCTCTCTCTCCTCTCTCTCTCTCTCTCCTCTCTATCTCCTCTCTCCCCTCCGTAGCTGTAAGAATAAGCTGTATCCAGACGATCTGCCTCGTACCAGTGTAGTGATCGTGTTCCACAACGAGGCCTGGTCCACTCTGCTGCGGACCGTACGCTCTGTCATAGACCGCTCCCCCAGGTCTCTGTTGGAGGAGGTAGTTCTGGTGGACGACGCTAGTGAGAGAGGTACACACTGAGATGCTCTCACCTCACACATCTCCCTCCCTTTGTGTCTGTCTCTTTATCCGGGTTTATCTGGGCTTGTTCCTAAGTGCTGTGTAAGGCTGTGTGTACAATATGCGTGTGTGACTGCGTGTCTGTGTGCGGCTGCATGTTTGCGTCTGTGTGTGCGTATGTGTGTTTGCAATTGTGTGTGAGTGCTGTGTCTTGTTTCTCAGCCCAGTGCTGTTAATCCCTGTTTGGGGCAGATTATTAGGTCCCTAAAACCCCGGGAGCAGGAATTACCCCCAACCCCCCTCTGTTCCCCTCTTGACCCCCTGGGATAGAGGGATGGAAGGGAGGAGAGGGGGAAGGGAGAGTGGGTAGGAGTGACATCCTTTACCTTTGAGAGCATGCTCTCTGGGAGGGAGATATCACTTACCACTCAGACCACACACTCTCTCACTCACCATAGTCAGGTATGCAGACATGTGCACACAAACACACACACACACACACGCACACACACACACACACACACACACACACACACACACACACACACAGATGATGGATTCATTCCATCTATTGGTCTGGTAGTACACTAAGTATCTGTTTTTGGGCCTGCCTTTGTGTTTGTGTGTGTGTGTGTGTGTGTGTTGTAGACTTCCTGAAGCGTCCGTTGGAGCAGTATGTAAGGAGGATGGAGGTTCCAGTCAGAGTGGTGAGGATGGAACAGAGGTCTGGACTGATCAGAGCTCGACTGAAAGGAGCCTCTCTCTCCACCGGACAGGTGTGTGTGTGTTTAAGAATTCTGAAATGCTGCTCAGATGCAGCTATTGTCAGTAGCCTCTCTGTAAGGAGACCAAGAGTAAAGTATGTGTTTGTTCTCATGTAGGTGATCACGTTTCTAGACGCTCACTGTGAGTGCACCATTGGGTGGCTGGAACCTCTGCTGGCCCGCATCAAACTCGACAGGTATGCTACACACCCGCAGGCACACACACGCGTATATGGGTGTGCGCACACACACACACCACACACACACACACACACACACACACACACACCACACACTCACGTAGACACACGCTGGGTGCAATACATCAATCAGTAACAGTTTGTTGAGCCTCCAGGGGGCTTGACCTTGTGTATTTATTTGATGCTTAATTACAAAGCCTCTGTTTACTTATGCCCTCAGGCTGGTACACACACACGCACGCACACACACACACAGCAGCCGGGCAGAGGGAGAGAGATAGAGGTTAGATTGTATTCCGTGCTACAGCTGTAAATGGGCTGAGCTGACAGCAGCACTCGGTCCTCTGTAGCTGAATTGGTAGAGCATGGCACTTGTAACGCCAGGGAAGTGGGTTCGATCCCCGGGACCACCCATACGTAAAAATGTATGCACACATGACTGTAAGTCGCTTTGGATAAAAGCGTCTGCTAAATGGCATATTATTATTATTAATTAGGTGTCTTTTGAGTAGTGTAACTTGGTGGAGAAAAATAAAACAATGTTTTATTTCACCTAATTTTAACATTCTTCTGTCATAAAGAGCACATGTTCAATAAAAATGTTAATAAAAAACATGTTTTCCCATCTCAAGAAGTTAAATAAAATAATACTATAGTAAGTGCCAAATAAAGGAACAGGGTTGACCGTAACAGGGTTGACCGTAACAGGGTTGAAGACTTCATCTTAAATTAGCCATAAATCCCCTTGTGACGGGGGGAATGAAAGCAAGCTTCACTAAAACATAGAAGTTGTCAAAACATTTCTAGCCTATCTGTGGGTAACAGGGTTGACGTGTTATGCTCTACCCGCTCACTTTTCCACCCCAAAACACCAGAAAATGGCCAAAAAGAGTAGAACCAGCTCACCTGCATTTACACTATGATCTGACTGTTAGATGTTCAGTGTTTCTTTTTTCTTTCTTCTTTTTTTAAGGAATAGTTTCACCATATTAAAACGAGAGTTCAGTTCACGTAACAGGGTTGACCTTAACACGAGGGACAGTATTTAAAAAAATATATGAATCACTAATCACATTAAATAAATAATAATCTTCAGAAATGACTTTTTCAAATCAACAAAGCAACTAGGGCTTTACAATGACGGTGAAAACTTGGATAAATGTTGGGGTTGATAAGTGCAGAAGCTGTCATGCCTCTCTCATTCACATGTATTGGCTGTGCCCCAAACTAGAGGGATTCTGGAAGTCAGTTTTCCAGACGTTCTCAGAAGTGCTGAATCAGCCTTTCGAACCCAACCCATTGATTGCTCTTTTAGGCGTCACCCCAAAAGAGTTGCGTTTAGCGAAACTATAGCCTTTGCCTCCTTGCTGGCGCTGGTACCTAACCCTTGTATTATGATCCAAGTCTAGAGACCCTTCATCATCTATTCAGTATTTATTTATCTACTTATCTAATGACCTCTTAATTACTATTATTTAGTTATTTTCTAAACACCCAACTTCCCAACTTACTTTCCAGCATCTATCTCTCTTTATGTCTTATTTTGTAGGGAGGATGGAGGAAGGGTTGCCCAATCCATGGGCAGGTGGGGGAGGGGAGGGGGGGATACTTGGTAATGGCGGGAGGGAGGGAGGATGGGTGGCGGGGGGGGGGGGGGGGGGGCTGGTGTGACAGCCAGGAGGGATCTCATTATCTTCCTGGCAGGTGGAAGCTGGGGAGGTGTAGTTGGGATGGGATGGGAGGGTTAGCTGTATGGGGACCTGGGATTGTGGGAGGAGGGAGGGAAAGGGGTTCTTCTGGTCTTCCACAACATTTTTTACTTTTTACACCATGCTATGATTAAACTGTACCATTGTATACTTAAGCAATAAGGCCCAAGAGGGTGTGGTATATGGCCAATATGCTATGGCTGTCAGCCAATCAGCATTCAGGCCTCAAACCACCCAGTTTATACTCTGATGTTTCTCATGACTGGTATCAATAAAACATTTAAACTGGATAAATGTTGGGGTTAAGTAGGTTCAAATCTTCACAGAGGATGCACAGAGGGACATTGATTGAAGTGTGTGTGTGTGTGTGTGTGTGTGTGTGTGTGTGTGTGTGTACAGCATGATAGTAGTGGCAGGAGCAGACATGAGTTAAGTATGTTGGTCTTCCTCCACTAGGACACAACACCAGACTCTAGTAACTGCTGTTGTCAACACAGTAGAGGTCTGCAGATGTTCTGGATATTAGGAATGATTGAAATTGAAATGATTACGACTCACAAGTCCAAGCATCTACTCAACACTTTGTCATTGTGGACCTAAACGTCTTCTTATGTGGATCTAAAGGTGTGTAAATATGTGTGTTGCAGGAAAACGGTGGTGTGTCCCATCATCGACGTGATCAGTGATGACACGTTTGAGTACATGGCTGGTTCTGACATGACCTACGGAGGCTTCAACTGGAAGCTCAACTTCCGCTGGTACCCCGTACCCCAGAGAGAGATGGACCGCCGCAAGGGAGACCGCACTCTGCCTGTCAGGTAGTACACATACACACTACCCATCTACAGCGCTGGCGTAGAGACTGCGACGTAGGGTAGACTCTCTTCAGCTCCAGTCAGTGAGGATTGATTAGTAATGTCAGCCCTACTCCCAACATTCTACTGATTCTAAATGTAAGGGGCTAGTAGTAGTGGCGTAGCTGGGATTTAATTCTAAGTTATGTTTTCAGTCAAATACATGAGCTCAGTGTGGTGTAGCTGTGTTCCTGTGTAGTTGAGGATGGGGAAACTGGGAACATTCAGGAATAAAACCCAGGGTTTGTTTTCGCTTGTCCGTCATCACCTCTTCCTATTCGTGTTCCCCACCAGTCCAATTGGGACTATCAGAGGCACATTCAGCGGCCCTGTTTCCATTCAGAATCCCTGCTTCCATCACAACACAGGGAAAGAGACTAGTCTATTAACTGTTTGTGAGGTGACCTGGCTAAAGTAGTTTAAGTAAAACAACATGTTCTTGAGTTTATCTTTAGCCAAGGTGTTTTTCTGTTTTCCCCTGCCTGCGCTGCCGAGGTGTTTTGCTCCTTTTCTGTTCCCAGCTGGCCAACAACAGAATGTGTGCGACTCCCCACACAGGGCACAGCTCAACAGCTCAGATCGGGTTCCCACAATATGTTTCCCCGGGGGGATGTGTGCTGTTCTATTTGTAGTTCCGTGTGGCACTGGCACCATGTTCCCTGTTGTCTTCCTGCTCAACCTCCTGAAAACAAGTCTTTAGCTCAATGTTGAAAATATCCCTCGTTCTGAGAGACTGACAGGGAGAAAGAGATGGATTGAGATGGAAAAACAGGAAAGAACATTCTCTGGAGGTCGACTTGATGTGTTTGTGCCTCTGAAGATACCATCTCTATTGACAAACTTGTGATCTCTGTCGCAAACATCCACCAGAATGTAGTTTTGGAGTGTGTGACTGACTGTTTTCTTCTTTCTACCCCATCTCCCTCTCTTTCTCTCTCTCTCTCTCTCTCCCCCCCTACCTCTCTCCCTTCCCTCCCGCTCCCTCTCTCCCCCTCTCTCCAGGACTCCTACCATGGCCGGTGGGTTGTTCTCTATAGACAGAGATTATTTCCAGGAGATAGGGACGTATGACGCAGGTATGGACATTTGGGGAGGAGAGAACCTGGAGATCTCCTTTAGAGTGAGTACACGCGCACACACAGGGCACGCACACACAGGGCACGCAAAGACACACACCTACACACATAGGGCACGCAAAGACACACACCCACACACACAGGGCACGCAAAGACACACACCCACACACATAGGGCACGCAAAGACACACACCCACACACACAGGGCACGCAAAGACACACACCCACACACATAGGGCACGCAAAGACAACACACACCCACACACATAGGGCACGCAAAGACACACACCCACACACATAGGGCACGCAAAGACACACACCCACACACATAGGGCACGCAAAGACACACACCCACACACATAGGGCACGCAAAGACACACACAGGGCACGCAAAGACACACACCCACACACATAGGGCACGCAAAGACACACACAGGGCACGCAAAGACACACACCCACACACACAGGGCACGCAAAGACACAACACCCACACACACAGGGCACGCAAAGACACACACCCACACAATAGGGCACGCAAAGACACACACCCACACACCATAGGGCACGCAAAGACACACACCCACACCTAGGGCACGCAAACACACAGGGCACGCAAAGACACACAAACAAGGGCACGCACACACAAGGCACGCAAAACACACACAACACACACACAGCAACCCAGGCACGCAAAGACACACACAGGGCACGCACACACAGGGCACGCAAAGACACACACACACACACAGGCACGTAGACACAACAGGCACGCAAAGACACCACAGGGCAGCACCACGGCACCAAAGAACACCCCACACACAGGCTAGTTGTAACATGCAGTTTTTTTTTGGTGTGTGCTTGGTCCTGTAAGTCGCTCTGGATAAGAGCGTCTGCTAAATGACTAAAATGTAAATGTAAATGTTGTAGATCTGGCAGTGCGGGGGGACGTTGGAGATCGTGACTTGTTCTCATGTGGGTCACGTGTTCCGGAAGGCCACGCCCTACACGTTTCCAGGGGGAACGGGTCAGATCATCAATAAGAACAACAGACGCCTGGCCGAGGTCTGGATGGACGAGTTCAAAAACTTCTTCTACATCATCTCCCCTGGTGAGTCTGAGTGAGGGGCGAGGGTTGGCGTGTGTGTGTGTGTCTGGGGCAGTTTCAAAACAGCAGCCAGGTATGTATGCTCCATCCATTAGCAATGTGACAGTGTGATGTTGCCGTGGTGACCTGACAAAGCGAGGCGAGGGGTGGGGGCAGAGTAATTTCACGCTACAAAGCCTTTATTAACCTTGCCGTCTCACCACTGACACAGACACACACACACACACCCCTGCACAGATCAGGTAGAGGACAGACAAGAACAAGGACAAACGTTCACCTCTCTTACACTAACAGGAAGTTTAATGTTCACTGCTTTACCTTACTTTAATTACAATCCCTAATCCAGAGAAGTGGATATGAAACACACAATGAGAAACATGTTTGTAAGAGTCTTCCAGTCCTTTGGGTAGTTGGTGATTGTGACCATGGTGACATGTGTGTTGTGTGTTTTCCACAACTACATAGAGTAGCCAGCCAAATAGAAAAAGTAGCCAGCAAGGCCGAAGTAGCTCTATTTTGGTGGCCTTTGGTACATTCTAATGCCTTGATTCCATCTGAAATACACAGTGAAATAATTGATTACTTTATTGAGTTTACGTCCTAGATTAGAAACATTTGTTGTGGTATTGTGTAGAAAGACATGACTTTACAATTTAAATTACAAAAAAATATATTTGAATTCAGTGTATTAGTTGTTTTGGATATTGTCTAGGCCTATATGATGAAGACTTTTCTAAGTAAGAGAACATTAAACCTTTTTTAGCATTTAACCTGTTTTCTCTTGATTAAAGTGTTATTTACAGTTTTACTGCAAGATATGTATTGCCACAATGATGATTGTTCTTGAAATGATGTTTTTCGATAAAATAGAAAAATGAAGTAAATAGCCCACACTATCTTGAAAAATAAATTAAAGGTTTTGTTTTTCCAGGTTTCCATTTTTTCACTCTCAAAATCACAGGTTCTTAATAGACAAACAACAAAATTGGATGTTCTAAATCCACAACAATATTTAAACCACATCAGGAGAGCACTTTTGAAGTCTGGGAAAAATCTGAGACTTTCTTTTGGGGGTGTAGTTACCCTTTAATTCAAGTGCACACCTAGCAAGAGGCTGTTGTTTAGCCATGTTTTTGTAGCCACATATGATGTTTTTTTAGTTTGAAGAAACAAATACACACTGGATTGATGCAAATAATCATGATATCATTCTGCCAGGTAAGCATAGGTTACTTTGTAGTTAACATTTAATTGAGAAGGTTTTTGGGAAAGCCTTTCTATCTACCAGAAGACTGTTTTCATTAGCATCATCGCTAACTGCTACACAAAGTGGTAGACTCGTGCACTGCACACACAGACGGGCATTCTCGTTGCCTCTTGACTTCAGAAAGTTGCAGGAAATACGAATCACTGATGCATTCTGTTCCTGTCTTATGATAAACTTGGGGAAATTAATACATTTTCAATACATTTAGTTGATTTCCTACTAAGGTCAATACATCTTTGAATATTGTTGAATTCCGTTTTAATGCCTGGATTCCTTGAGGGTCCCACTGATCATATTTGGACCAGAATGAGACTCTCCACTATCTATTGTTCCTTCAGTGATGATTCATCATCTTCATCGAATGTTTTCAAAATGTATCTGCAGATAATTGCCAAAAAGCCTAGGCCTACCAGTAACCTGTACAAATTAGGAAACCAAATGAGCCGATCTCCAACGAGATTCGGTAGGCTACAGACTGACGAGATGAAAGTCACTCACTTTAGCGTCACTTTCTGGCAAGCCCCGACATCCTAGGAAAGGAAACCTAGGAAATCCTTTGGTTTCCTTGTCCTGATGCGATACCATGGACATATAACCACGTTGCATGATTTATGAATGGCAAAGGGATATAGGAGACTTTATTCAGTCAGTTCGACACCTTTTATAAAATAGTCATCACTTGCTATTCAGTTGTCAATCAACACACAGTAAATAGCCTAGACCACTCCGCGTGGCTGGCTATGTGAAATGCGAAAGAAAATACATGAATGTGTCAGTAAACAATAATTAGGTTGTGGATTTCGACTCATCGTTACCACTTACATTACATGGGACGTGCAAATTCACAAGCATCATGCTCTCTCCCTCCTAGGTGTAAAGAAATTTGACTGCAACCAGAGATCTGTAGGCTATATAATGACAAGATGCTCATGTCTCCGCCCCAACAATGGGAGTCGTCGTCCCAATGGTGGGAAGGCAGGCGAAAAGCTTAGGTCCAAGATAATACCATAGAAACGCATTGGGCTTATTTTGGACAGATTTTGGCGAGTGTGAAACCTCTCGCTTCGCCTCTTCCTCTCTGCTGCATTTCCCTGTCATTGCTCGCTTTGTGACTGACAGGTGCCTATCCTATAAATAGATCACTAGAAGATGCATATTGTTCATTCTAGCGGGAGAGGGCTCGATGGACGAGTGAATTTAAACATTTAAATGAAAAGTGGAAAATGTAGCTGGCTGAAAATGAGTCTGTAACCGGCTGATTAGCCGACAGCCGGCGCTAATGGAAAACACTGTGTTTCAGGTGTGACGAAGGTGGACTATGGTGACATCACGTCTCGCTCCTCTCTGAGACAGAAGCTGCAGTGTAAACCTTTCAGCTGGTACCTGGAGAACGTCTATCCTGACTCCCAGATACCACGACACTACTACTCACTGGGAGAGGTACACACACGCTAAACACACACTAAACACACACACACACATTGAATCAGTGATAATTGTTGGTTGTGTGTTGTTCTGTCAGATCCGTAACGTGGAGACTAACCAGTGTCTGGACAACATGGCCCGGAAGGAGAACGAGAAAGTTGGCATCTTCAACTGCCATGGCATGGGAGGAAACCAGGTAACTAGAACTGCCATGGCATGGGAGGAAACCAGGTAACTAGAACTGCCATGGCATGGGAGGAAACCAGGTAACTAGAACTGCCATGGCATGGGAGGAAACCAGGTAACTAGAACTGCCATGGCATGAGAGGAAACCAGGTAACTATAACTGCCATGGCATGAGAGGAAACCAGGTAACTAGAACTGCCATGGCATGGAGGAAACCAGGTAACTATAACTGCCATGGCATGGGAGGAAACCAGGTAACTAGAACTGCCATGGCATGGGAGGAAACCAGGTAACTAGAACTGCCATGGCATGAGAGGAAACCAGGTAAAAATAACTGCCATGGCATGGGAGGCAACCAGGTAACTAGAACTGCCATGGCATGGGAGGCAACCAGGTAACTAGAACTGCCATGGCATGGGAGGAAACCAGGTAACTAGAACTGCCATGGCATGAGAGGAAACCAGGTAACTAGAACTGCCATGGCATGGAAGGAAACCAGGTAACTAGAACTGCCATGGCATGGGAGGAAACCAGGTAACTAGAACTGCCATGGCATGGGAGGCAACCAGGTAACTAGAACTGCCATGGCATGGGAGGAAACCAGGTAAGTATAACTGCCATGGCATGGGAGGAAACCAGGTAAGTATAACTGCCATGGCATGGGAGGCAACCAGGTAACTAGAACTCTATAACTGATCAACTGAGGAGAGGACAACAATAATATGATCACCTTTAGTGTTTATCATAGTGACAAACATTAACCTGAGCAACCTGTCAACCTGAGCAACTTCTCTGACCTCAGAGGAGGGAGATACAATGACAGATACAATGTAAATGAGAGAGAGCGAGAGAGACAGGGAGAAGGAGAGAGAGAAGGTATCTTGTCTTCCCCTCTGACCGTGTGTCGTCCCCTGCAGGTGTTTAGCTACACGGCCAATAAAGAGATCAGGACAGATGACCTGTGTCTAGACGTGTCCAAACTCAACGGTCCTGTCATGATGCTCAAGTGTCACCACCTCAAAGGAAACCAGCTCTGGGAGTATGACCCCATGGTACGTCTGTCTGTCTGTCAACAGTAAACAAAAACAAAACAAACAAAAAATACTAATACCCTATCCTTTCACTTGTCTTTTCTTACTAGCACTGACTTTGCTGATAGCTGCTTTATTGAGGAAAAGTTTGACTTACTACATTTTATGACTGTGCTGGTTGTTGTTTTACCTAGCTACCTTAAAGTAACTGTCCAGTGTTTCCAGATTTCTATGAAATATGACATATAATTAATTACAATATGAGTGAAATATATATTTTTCTTTTACAAAAAAAAGAAAAAAAGATAAGTGTGTTAAAAAGCAGCTTTTCTGTGTTGGAATGGTGCGGGCGTATACTAGGGATAAAAAATATTCACGCGAGTAGATCGCTGATTGGCTAGCGCATCATCATCATCATCTATGAGGAAATGGCAAGCATTTATTGTCTTTTTGACATACAAGTTTTAGGTGGGGTTTTTTAAGTGTTTTTTTCTCCATTTTATGCTTTGGCCACATACGAATATAGAATGAGTCAACAACATTATTTGGGTATGAGTTAACCTCTACAGGATCGGTGTCCCGTGTACGGGACGGTTGAGCTAATGTGCGCTAATGTGATTAGCATGACTTTTGTAAGTAACAGCAAACTTTCCAGGACATAGACATGTCTTAAATGGGCAGAAAGCTTAAATTCTTGTTAGTCTAACTGCACTGTCCAATTTACAGTAGCTATTACAGTGGAAAAAATACCATGCTATTGTTTGAGGAGAGTGCACAACAACAAAAAACGTATCACGGCAACTGGTTTAATACATTCACCTCTGAAGGTAAATAATGTACTTACATTCAGTAATCTTGCTCTGATTTGTCATCCTGAGGGTCCCAGAGAAAGAATGTAGCATAGTTTTGTTTGATAAAATCAATTTTTATATTCAAATGTAGGAACTGGGTTCTACAGTTTGAACCCCTGCTGTCTCTGGCACTACACCCACCCAGCCCAGCCATCTAGATGTGTGAAAGTTAGTGTATAAGCTAATGATCCATCATGTATGACATTCCTGGGTGTGTAAACTTACATTTGTTTTACCATATAATTTTTGCATGTTCTCTATAGTTATGTACTTGAAAATGTGTCAATTGACTATTCACATTTGGGCAGACAAAATAGTCCAGTATTGCAATGCTTCACTGGATCAATCTGAAACTTTGCACACACACTGCTGCCATCTAGTGGCCAAAATCTAAATTGTGCCTAAACTGCAATATTATATTGTGGCCTGTCTCTTGCATGGAACAAAAATGGAACAAAAAAAACAATAAACCCGCATGTTTTTTTGTTTGTATTACCTTTTACCAGATCTAATGTGTTGTATTATCCTACATTAATTACACATTTCCACAAACTTCAAAGTGTTTCCTTTCAAATGGTATCAAGAATATGCATGTCCTTGCTTCAGGTCCTGAGCTACAGGCAGTTAGATTTGGGTATGTCATTTTAGGTGAAAATTGGAAAAAGGGGTCCGATCCTTAAGAGGTTAACAGAATATTCACTTTTAAAAGTGATATTTTCACTGGACAGTTACTTTAAGATGAATGCACTTTTAAACTGTAAGTTGCTCTGGGTAAGAACGTAGCTAAAATGACTAAAATATAACAAATTAAATGTTTCTCTGTCTGTTGTCTCTGTAGAAGTTGACCCAGGTCTGTTTCTCTGTCTGTTGTCTCTGTAGAAGTTGACCCAGGTCTGTTTCTCTGTCTGTTGTCTCTGTAGAAGTTGACCCTGATCCACGTCAACAGTAACCAGTGTCTGGACAAGGCCAGTGAGGAGGACAGCCAGGTGCCCAGCGTCAGAGACTGCACACACACTCGCTCTCAACAGTGGCTGCTGCGCAACGTCACGCTGCCTGAGATCTTCTGACCGCCGTCCACATACACACTGACGGAGAGAGAGCGAGAGGGGGAAGAAGGGACAGAGTCCACACTGAATGGGATGAAGCAGGCTATCTCTGGACCCTTCTATGGCGGCTAGGAGAGAGGGAACGTGTTTGGACTCACTGGAGGAGAGACTCATGCTTTTAAAGAGAGACTGGTGATGTTTTAAAGAGAAAGAGAGAGACCTGCTCCTGGAGAGACATGTTGTTAAAGAGAGAGAGAGAGACTCACAGAGAGACACAAGGTTCTGTGTTGCTCACACCTTCCATGGACAAGGCAGTCTCCCCAATGCTGCAAACTCATCACTTATGTTTACCTGACTGCCTGTAATGAATGTGTGTGTGTTTATAGGTTGGGGGCGTGAACGTGTGTGTGTGTGTGTGTGTGAGTGAGTGAGTGTGTTCTCAAGTGAAGGGGGCTCATTTCTTAGTGAATTTGTGTTTTATTTTTTTCATAGATTTTGGAAATGAACTCTGGAGAACTCATATGAAGGAAGGGGGTGTTGTGAGCATGTGTGTTGGGATAAGCCCTCCTGTTGCAGTATTGTATGACTGTGTGTGCATGTGAGGACAGCAGTGTCTGTCTCCCTCTAGTGTTCTTCCCCTGAGTTGCAGCCTAAAGAGACAGAGAGATGGGGAGAGAGAGCAAAAGAGAGAGAGAGAGAGAGAGAGAGAGAGAGAGAACACTCTCCAGCGAAGCACCAAGGAACTCAATGCGCTGAACCACAAACTGAACTGAACCCCTTACAGACGGACCTGCACTGCTACAGACAGATATAGAGACAGAGATAATATGTTTGTGATATACTGAGATTTGTATGTAGACTTTTTTACATGCCTTTGTTTGTTACTGTGAGAGTTCCGCGGAGCAGCGACTCTAGTTTATCTGTCTGTTTATGTCTTTAAGGTAAAGTGTTTAACATAGAGCTAATACGGCTGCTGGTTGACATTGCCCTTAGCCACAGATCAAGGATCAGCTTACCCTCCCCAAATCCTAACATTAACCATTATGGATGGGAAACAAGAACTGATCTTAGATCAGTGTCTGGAGGCAACTTGATCCTCCTCCGCTAATACACACACGGCCCTGGGCCCCTGCATATCTGATGTGATGGATCTAATGATCACAGTAACCCACACACACACATAAATAATCCCACATACAAACACAGTATACACACATGTACACACACACAAACAGAAACAAACACATACAAGCTGAACTGGACTGACACTTACATCTTCTCAATCATATCTTCTTCCTGAAGACCTCCTGATGAAACACTCCAATGGCTCCATCCTCCATGGTGTGTGTCTCTGTGTGTGTGTGTGTGTGTGTGTGTGTGTATATGCGTGTGTTTGTGTCTAGCACCAACTCCATGCTAACCCCAGCCCGCCAACTCCACTTTTGTCAGCACAAACTAACTCCAGATCAGTTTAATGCGGTTTCTATATCACTGAACAGCACAGTGGAGCTGCATATACTGACCAGAGGTCAGTTTAGGGCAGTATCTCAGTTTCATACATTGATTTCTATGCTTCGTATCGTTATAATAATATGGAGGTGGTTCAGGAATGCAGTAAGTGTTTGATGATGAACGTGGGAGAGGGATGTAAGGTGTCCTACAGTATCTCACTCCATAACCAGACTGATCTCTTTCTGGTCAACACATAGAACTCTCTACTCATATCACTCCTTGACTTAACATTTCTCTTATCATTTTGGTTTACCTCTTCTTTTTAGTTGTTTTTTTATCACCCGCTTTTATCAGTTTGCCAGTGTATGAGAGATGACGTCTATCATTAACTATTTCAACCTCCTCCAGTGGGGGAGGGGTTTACACACAGTTCTGACATTCATTTCATTGGCTCATCTTTGCTGTGGAGGCGGGGGGCTTTATTTGACGGATTCATGTTTGATTGAATGACTGTATGATAAAGATGTGTGATTTCTGCTTGGTGGGTTTTGACTGCGAGACAGGCAAGGACTGTTTGTATGTAAAGGATTGACTGTCGGGGGGGGTTGATTTGACAGCTGTATGAGTTATATCCAGGCTTCCACACTGAGCTGTTTCAAACGTTGTAGAAATAAAAGTGAGAACGTTTACAGAACAACACAACAATAACATGGACTCCTGTCTCTCTCTTTACCCACGCACTCACACATACAGTACCAGTCAAAAGTTTGAACACACCTACTCATTCAAGGGTTTTTCTTTATTTTTACTATTTTCTACATTGTAGAATAATAGTGAAGACATAAAAACTATGAAATAACACATATCGAATCATGTAGTAACCAAAAAAGTGTTAAACAAATCAAAATATATTTTATATTTTGGATTCTTCAAAGTAGCCACCCTTTGCCTTGATGACAGCTTTGCACACTCTTGGCATTCTCTCAACCAGCTTCATGAGGAATGCTTTTCCAACAGTCATGAAGGAGTTCCCACATATGCTGAGCACTGCTTTTCCTTCACTCTGCGGTCCAACTCATCCCAAACCATCTCAATTGGGTTGAGGTCGGGTGATTGTGGAGGCCAGGTCATCTGATGCAGCACTCCATCACTCTCCTTGGTCAAATAGCCCTTACACAGCCTGGAGGTGTGTTTTGGGTTATTGTCCTGTTGAAAAACAAATGATCGTCCCACTAAGCGCAAACCAGATGGGATGGCGTATCGCTGCAGAATTCTGTGGTAGCCATGCTGGTTAAGTGTGCCTTGAATTCTAAATAAATCACAGACAGTGTCATCAGCAAAGCACCCCCACACCATCACACCTCCTCCTCCATGCTTCACGGTGGGAACCACACATGCAGAGATAATCCGTTCACCTACTCTGCGTCTCAACGGTTGGAACCAAAAATCTCACATTTGGACTCATCAGACCAAAGGACAGATTTCCACTGGTCTAATGTCCATTGCTTGTATATCTTGGCCCCAGGCAAGTCTCTTCTTATTGTTTGGTGTCCTTTAGTAGTGGTTTCTTTGCAGCAATTCGGCCACAAAGGCCTGATTTACGCAGTCTCCTATGAACAGTTGATGTTGAGATGTGTCTGTTACTTGAACTCTGTGAAGCATTTATTTGGGCTACAATCTGAGGTGCAGTTAACTTTACTGAATTTATCTTCTGCAGCCGAGGTAACTCTGGGTCTTCCTTTCCTGTGGCGGTCCTCATGAGAGCCAGTTTCATCATAGCGCTTGATGGTTTTTGCGACTGCACTTGAAGAAATGTTCCATATTGACTGACCTTCATGTCTTAAAGTAATGATGGACTGTCGTTTCTCTTTGCTTATTTGAGCTGTTCTTGCCATAATATGGACTTGGTCTTTTACCAAATAGGGCTATCTTCTGTATACCACCCCTATCTTGTCACAACACAACTGATTGGCTCAAACGCAATAAAACAGACATAAATTCCACAAATTAACTTTTAAGAAGGCACACCTGTTAATTGAAATGCATTCCAGGTGACTACCTCATGAAGCTGGTTGAGAGAATGCCAAGAGTGTGCAAAGCTGTCACCAAGGCAAAGGGTGGCTATTTGAAGAATCTCAAATATAAAATATATTTTGATTTATTTAACACTTTTTTGGTTACTACATGATTCCATGTGTTATTTCATAGTTTCAATGTCTTCAGTATTATTCTACAATGTAAGGAAATAGTAAAAATAAACCCTTGAATGAGTAGGCGGGTCCAAACTTTTGACTGGTACTGTATTTATGTGAGACAACAGATTATTTTTAACCCCGCCAGTGATCAGTGCTGGTCTGACCTAAAGAGAAGTGTTCTAATTCAATTTCTATGGGTGATTCTGTGTTTCTCGACTGATCATGCTGAGAATAACATTAGTGGCGGCGGTTTTTTATAACAATTTTGTCCTCAAACTGTACAGCACAGTAATAGGTGTCTGTTACTGACCTTTCAACCTTTGAAATCTTGTAATAAGAGGTTCTGTTATAAAGTAATATAGTCTCTGTTAGACTTTACCCACCTACACTTACCCAGTCATTAAGATTGTATGATAGATTGTGTGATAGACTGTATGATAGATTGTATGATAGACTGTATGATAGATTGAATGATAGACTGTATGATAGATTGAATGATAGACTGTATGATAGATTGAATGATAGACTGTATGATAGACTGTATGATAGATTGAATGATAGACTGTATGATAGATTGAATGATAGACTGTATGATAGATTGTATGATAGACTGACGCCATCACACAAACACACTGGCGAGAGAGGAACACACTAAGGTAAGAGCCATCTCCTAATTACAGTTCTCCTAATTCTGACATCTGTATGAACTTGATAGAGTGATTATATAAAAGGTGAATATTGAGGCCTAGGTCTCTTTTTCAAATGCGCCCTGTATAATACAACATATATATATATATACATATACATTATACACAAAATCTATATATATACACATTAAATACAAAAACATAGTCATAGGAAGCACAAATAAAATCTCACAAATCACCCAGGAAAACAGTTACATTCCTCCACAAATAAGTCCCCAATCAATACTTTCAATTGCCCGAACGGCACTAGAACATCAAGATGTATTTTATATTTTGTTCCAGCAATACGGTGCATTAAAACTAAAAGCAGATTTACCTAGCTCGGTGGAGACCTGGGTTCAGTTAAATGGTGTATTGTCTGAAATATAACCTCAGGTTCACCTTCGTAGAAAGAGGAACACAGAAAAGTTAAGTTGGTCCTGTGTGGCTCAGTTGGTAGAGCATGGCGCTTGCAACAACAGGGTTGTGGGTTCGTTTCCCATGGGGGGACCAGTACAAACAAAAATATGAAAATGTATGCACTCACTACTGTAAGTTGCTCTGGATAAGGGCATCTGCTACATGACTAAAATGTAAACGTACGTTCTGTTTATCCCAGAGGGGTGCTGCAGTACTGTATAGATCAGGGCTCTCCAAAAACCTACAGCACGGTCGCTCTCCAGGAACAGGGTTGGAGAGCCCTGGTTTAGATCCAAGTGTTCTTACCGCTTAGATCTATATAGTAGCAGATCAGATTTACTATATAGAGATGTATTGCTGAGCCTGAGATTACTATTAGGCCAATAAAACAGCCTCCTCGCATACGTAATACAGCAAAACAATGGCATAGGCCAGATTGCGGAAATGGCGCCATCTCTGACGCTTAACCATGAAATGCTGATGGTTTTAGCGTTGATTGCGAAGGACAGTTCCAGTCCAGAGATGCTAAATCCAGATATTCTCACAGATCTTTCTGATGTCCAGAGTGTTTTCTCTGGGGAGAGAGAGGAGGGGGGTACTGCCTATGTAATGAGTCTCTCTGGGGAGAGAGAGGAGGGGGATACTGCCTCTAAAAGCCTCTCTGGG